CACCCACAAATCTCTATGTTGTCTCCGGCATTTTCCCTCTGGGGCTTTCTTGTGAGCTCACCTCTTTAGTAGTCATGCTGCTCACCCTCTCCCTGCAGCCGCTTTTATACAGGCTCGAGGCTCAGGTGTGCACATACCCACACTCGAGGTGTCCACAGTCAGGCATGCGTCCCACACCCAAGCGCCTGCTGCATTAACACAAGCCAGGCTGAAGAGGCCAGGGCATAAGAAGTCTGATTCATTCATTCACCCTTAGTCTGTCTCTGAGTATCAACCTGGGGCTGAGAGTCTTGGCAATACCCACTTACACCAGGGGCTTGTTGAAAGATCCCTCTGTGACACTGTGGGGGAGGTCTCCTCAGCTATGCTGTACCCCCCAAATTGAAGGGGCATGGCTGGCGAACTAAAAATAACAGCTACCAGTTCATGAGCAGTGACACCTGGCCACCAGTCCTGGATTTCAAGATCTGGAGCCTTAGAAAGCAGAGCCTCCCCTGGGCAGCAGGCCCCTCAAGACAGAGCTTTGCTGCCGCCTGCTGGCCCTGGAAGACACTCTTCTCACTACGCAAATGAGCTAGAGATGACACTAAGTCTTGAATTTGATGTTCAGAGTCGGAGGTGTCTGTGAGAATCGTGTCATCTGGCCCAGAACCTTGGTTTTGCAGTTGAGAAAATGCAGATAAGTAGTGGTGATAGAGGCTAAGAGGAGAAAATTTGGGAAGGAGGCATCACAAGACCTGAAGCTGGAGATGGGGGAGTAGAAGTGATTAATGGAGTCACCAAACAAGCTATCTATCTCTATCTATCTCTATCTCTATCTATCTCTATATCTATATCATCTATCTCTATCTCTATCTATATATGGAGGTGCAGACCGAGGCTCAGGTCGGAAGTGGGGAAATGGAGATTGGGGGCCATTGTAAAAAACAAATCACTGTCCTTTGAAATCTACCCTTTCAAACCAAATATAGAAAAAAATCCTTAGGCGCCAACCCTAGAAATAATTTTAACAGCAGTTAAAAGGAATGAATTCCTCCCAAAGAGACTAACTCAGCGCACTTTCTGCTCTGGAAAGTTGCAGTGCCTTGCCTGCCTGTGGCTCCACAGGTGTTTCTCTACATCCCCCTTCTCCCTTTGCGAAGAGCAGGGGCAGCTCTCCCCCAGGGCTGCCCGCCTCTGACTCTGCAGGCGTCTCTTTTAACAAACCTGTCCTTTCTGGGGCAGCTCTTTGCCCACTGTGTCTGTGCAAGCATCCTTCCCTTAAAAAAACAAAACAAAACAAAAAACCTGTCCTTTTGGACATAACTAAACATTTCTGCATCCTGGGGAAACTCACCACATGCTGTTGGGAAGCGCTGACGAAACTTTTCTGAGGGAACCCAAGGCTGTAGTGGGACAACCCGGTGCAGGGCAGGCAGGCAGCCCTGCAAATCTCTCCTCTTTCTCTGGGTCTCTGGCATTCTCTGGCAGTCTCACTTCTTCTGTAGTCACGCTGCCTGTCCTCTCCTAGCCACTCTCGAGTCTGAGCGACGCCACCCATCCCCAGCCTCTAGGCGCAACTGCCCATGAGCAAGCGCATTCCCTGCGCCCCCAAGCGCTCTCTGTGTTAACACGATCACGGCCACAGGTGATAGCCACAGAGACTAGTGGCATCGCAAGCCTGATTCACTCATTTACCCTATACTGGCTTTCTGACCCCAATAACTCTCCAAACCAACATAGTGGGATCTGTAACCCTTCTAGATAGGGTGCCAGAGCCCAACCCCCAGGACTTCGGGTGCCCAACCTTGGCTCTGGCAGCCAAATGTCCACGGAAGTGGGGACAGAATCTCTAGATGGAGGGCTAGCGCTGACCAGAGTCCTTGGTGACAGACCTGGCAGCAGGGAGCGGAACCCTGGCCAAAGACCTGCTCCCTAGATTTCATTCTTCCCACTCCAGCAGCTTCTGCCTTGCTGGAAGCAGTGTCAGCTCCAGAGTGGGAGGCAGGCATCGCCACACCCCACATATCTCTAGGATGAGTGTGGCTCCCAGTGAGGCTCATTAGTCCAAGACAAATGGTCAGGGTATCTATCTCTCATCCAGATACCCAAGGTCAGGTCCCACAGGTGCTATTTGACCCTTCAGGACCCTCCCACATCCCCTAGGCCTCCAAGAGGTTGATAGCAGTATGTTTCCTTAACTGTCGTTTTTGGGTGGGTCCAGCCAGTGGGGAATTGGGCTAGAAAAGCTAAAAGGAGAGTGGGGTCAAAGGTGTTTATTTCTCATGGCCCTCCCCGCAGGCCAAGATTCTATTTCCATTGGACTTTCCTGTCTCTACCTCTAGTAACTGGTTTCCTTCAACTCTGCTTGCACCTTCAGGTCTAGGGAAGGTCCTGGAACACTGAACTATTGGGCCTGGGGTTCTGCTGTATCCCTGAGTTTCCCTTTACCCGCTTACACCTTTGTAAAGAATCTCTTCCTTAAGCAGTCCTCATCTTATAGTAACCTGAATGTGTCATTTACTTCCCCCTGGAGCTGCCACTGACACAAGACCCTGCCTTGCACACCTGGGCCTTCCTCTTGAGCAGGACCAGCTGACTGCACCAAGTAGGAGGACTACCTCACGACAGTGTGTGGACATGTGCTCACCTCGCCTGTGTAGTCACTAACACACATTTCATCTCAGCACACACTTCAACTTGACACAGGCCGCAGCAGAAGCAGGCAGAGCGGGCATAGCAGAGTCCTGGAGCTCTCCGTGGAATTTCAGGTCTTGAATCATCGTCTCCACCATTTGTAGTGAAGCAGCCAGGTGCAGGGCAGACAGAGGAGAGGGGTGGAGAGAGGGTCCTGGCAGGCCTCCCAGCCCCAGTAAATCTTCACTCACTCTGACATGCTCTCGTGGTGTCTCCACTGCTGTCCGCTGTCTCTGCCACACTTTCTGTGGCTGCACCCCTATATGCTCAGTCTCTTGGCCCAGGTGTGCCCACTGAAGCCAGCCCACACCACACTCCAGGTGTCTGCCACCACACATGCACTCCTACATTAAAGGCCTGCACACAGAGGTCAATGGCGCAAAAGCCTGAACAATCTTCATTTACCCTACTCTGGCCTTCACCAAAATTAAGCTTTTAGGATTGCTTTCCTGTCCCTTTTTCAAAACAATGTAGACTCATATCATAGCTCTGACCCCACGAGGAAACAACCAGTCTATGATCCAAGTGGGAGAATTGATGTGCTGCAGCGTCTAGCTACTCCTACCTGCTCTCAAGAGCCAATTAAAGAATGTTCACTTTTTGGGCCCTCCCTGGTGGTGCAGTGGGTTAAAGCACAGCTCTGCAATCTGGCCGCAGTGCTTCAGTGTGAGTTCGATCCCCGCCCCGGAGGTGACCCACATGGTGCGGCAGACTTCTCCTGACCCACCTGCTGCTCCTCTCAGCAGTGTACTTCGTCAGTCATCCTGTTCTCCCCATTCTGTCTCTGGTGAATCCTCTCACTGCCCCTGCAGCTCTGGCCTGTACCCCAGTTCTGTATGCATAAATAAATAAATCTTTAAAAAAACAGTTCACTTTTTAAATACACAGACACTACAAGTTAAATTATATAAGTGTACAGTGAAGCAAACCATACAGTATAAATAACTGTACAGATAGCTGTGCAGTAATAAAAATTCAAAACGTGTCATTCCTACTTACCACATTGTAAGTGCTCTCAAGGCTGTTAAATCTGCTGTTAATTTAATTACAACTCTTAAATCCACAGAAAAATACTTTGGATGGTTAGTTTTTCTCATCTCTGCTTTTAGCAATGTCACGTTGATAATTGGAAATAGTCATGGTGGAAATATTTACACCATGAGAATTGGCAAACATTCCAAAGCTGGGCTTTTTTTACTTACTTGCTTGTTAAACATTTTCTAGTACACCACTAGTTGGAATCAATGAAATTAAAATAAAACAAATCTTCAATTCTGTATTTAGAGATAATCGAGTATGTAGGGGGATACCAAGCCTCAGCCACCCACCAGTTCTACTATATCAGCTTACTCAAGGCAGCAAACTGAGCAGGCTTCTCAGGGTTGGGGATCAACATTCCCTAGAGTGCAGGGAAGGAATGGGGACAGAGGACCATGCTATCAAAGTTTCAATCCCAGTGCTGTGCCCCAGTCATAAGAACTCACTCAGTCACAGCTTCTGGTGTCTAAGCAACAAGGAAAAGAAATTAATTATTTCCTAGATGAAAATTCCAAGGGTTGTCAGTCAATCCTCAGGCTGACTGATCCCACACAAATGTGGTTAGTTTTAGGTTTTCAGATACTTCTTCTTTCTCTCTCATCCCATCTCTCAGTTCTGCTTTCCTCTACGTTAACCTTTGTGATTACCAAATGGCCAGGGATTTCTCCTTTCTCTTTAAATAACAGCTAGCAGCCCAAAGAAAGAACTTTTTCTCAGGGAAGATCCTTCTTGGCTTTAAGTGCTGAGAGGGCTGCTGGGCCCTAGTCTGGGGGAGAGGAATGTGGAGCTCTGATAGCTTCCAGTGGGGATCAATCCCACCACAAGCCCCATGAATCAAGTGAGGAGGGGAGTTTCCTATCTCTCCACAGAAACAAGTAATGGAAAGAGAGGAGAACCACTAAAGACAAGATAAAAAGCCAACAGATGAGAAGCTGAAAAAGTAGGTGTAGGTGTTGTGACAGAGTATGGGATTGTTCCCACAGAGCACACGGGACTTCAGTCACCAGTGGGAAAGGGAATTATGCCATGTCAATGTATGTTAGATTTTGTAACTATTGATTTGGATAGGCAATCTGAACTTTCACTAGTTTGGTGGTGCTGTGGCTTGAGAAGAGTGTATAAATCATCATTGCACAATACTGCAAGACAGATTTTTGTATCTTAGCCCCAAATCTGTACGCAGTCAGTTTGATTCCATGGATTGCAAATCAAAATTGGTTCAGAACTAATCATTTAGTTCCAGATAAAAACAATCACACTCACTGTTTATAGACATCTTTTTTAATGTTTTACTTTAAAACAAATAATCCCAGTAAAAGAGAGCAAAGGAAATTACATTTTAATGGTAGCTTGAAATGGATACGATATTCCTGATCTATTTGTTTTCAGGAAACAGACAATTGCATTGTCATACATGACTTTTAGAACTGCTCGCTTAAATGCACATAATTATATTAAATTAAATTTCTCTTACAAAAACACAGCCATGTTATTTAAGGCAAAATATATCAGCTTCTGGGAAGATAAATTAACATCTATGATATTTTCTAAATCTGATTAAATGAAGTGGTCAATTAATCTGTTATTCAGGTTCCTTAAGTTTTGTCTGTAAACGGGGTTGAGGATTAGTCATTTTGTGCCTTGTTTCCTCCTCTCAAGTAGATGTGTTTTACCTGCAATTTAAGGACTTTCAGAATCACCGAGTCAATGGGAGGTGAGAAAGGCACCTTAGAACAGGAGGAATTGACTTAAAAACTTAATAAAGTATCTTACTTTAAACAAAACTTGTAATCTACAGATATTAATTTAGTTGAACAAAATGCAAACATTTAGATCAGACATAGCAATATTTTTTAGTCAACCTCATACAAGGGCTGTTTACGATTAAGTGTTAGTTTGATCAACCCTATGCATTGAAGAAGGCAGGCAAACCTGAACTGAGAAAACTCGGGTCTTCTCAGTGCTCAGCTAAATTGTGCTTCAAAACACCCTTTGGGATTGACTGATGGGACTTTGCTCAGTGTAAGTGGGAGACCCTGCTCAACTTCACAGAGGGACACAACAGACAGAACCCTACAGTTTTCACACAGAACAACTGTCTTTCAATATCTGAAAATTTTTGTGCTAGAATAAGTTAGACACAAAATAGTCATGGCTTCAATGTAGAAAAGTTCTTCACAAGGCTGTTTACTGCAGTTTTCTCTGAGTAAGACCTCAGTAACGTGTTTACATTTTGTTTCCGAATCTTCAGTTTTCAGCAATGTTGGATGAACTGCTTTATGTTTTAAGCCTAAAGTGGCCTCAGGAGGGGATTCCAATACATTCAGAAGTCCTGCTGCCAGTGGGGTTTGACCCAGGACACAGTATGTCCAAGAATTAGTGCTAACTGAACTTGCTGCCTCCTTCCTTGCTGCTCATCTGTGTTTGGAAAGAGCCTGCCGAGTGCATGGCAAGTGTCTGCCTGTAGATCAATGGAGGTGTGTGCGCGCATGTATGTATGATCACCGTGTGTAACCTCAGATCAAGTAGAGACGTGGTGGATAAAAACCCGCATTTTACAATTTACTATTATGTTTTCACAATGAAAACAATCATTTAAAAGTGATTATTTTAACTGGAGTATAAAATTTAAACTCAATCTGTGTATCTCCAGCAGCCAAGAAGATTCTGAGTGACACTGTCCAGGGGGCATACTAGAACATACTAGAAGACAAGCAAGATGAGAAAAGGAAGCTTTTAGAATTGTCGTGATGATCAAAGAGGCAAGGATTTGAAACATTAAAATGCAAATTTTAGGTAGAATGTAAAAGTGGTTTTGTGAGGATGTAGGCTGATTAACATGCGGTGAGGTTCAGAAGCAAAATGGCAGGAAATGGATAAACAGCTAATAGAGAAGAAAAGTGGAGGGAGATGCAGAAAGCTGATCGGAAGAGGGTTTGGTATGACTGGTAGATTTCAGGGTCTCTTCCGCTGGGTAGCCTATTGAAATCCCTGCCCAGTCTTTCTGGCTGCTGGAGAAGTTTTCTGTAGGCAGCACCATCTGTTAAGGAAGAAAGTCTTCCTAAGTTCTCCTGTGCTAGGTTTAACAGATTTGAAATGCTCTCTCTTGGCTGAAGTTCTGAGACAGCTAGCCTGGTTTCTAACAAGTGGTCAGTGTTGCCTGCTTTCTGGCAAACATGGTGCTGCTTCCATACACAATTAAGTACTTTGATTAGTAGACCCTGGTTTCTAATGGCAAATGTTTATACTAGGAAACAAGCCAATAATTTCAGATTTGGGGCAAAATTCTTGGGGAGACTAGAAAATTTTCACTACAGTATAAAAAGCAAAGGAGGTTTAGTTTTAGCCTTTCATATTCAGCACGTACTACATAATAGCAAAGACCATTCAGGGCACATTAAAAAATAAATACCTTGCAAAATTCTGTTTATATATAAGAATAAGGGACGTTTAGGTAGTTGAATTCCTTAGCAATAATGATTTTTCAAAAAATCAAGTTCTTTGATTTTGGTTTATTTCTCTCCCTCTCATTGCCCTTTGGGGAGGAGGGATCATTTTCTTTACCTTTACCTACTTTCTGGTGTTGTGTCTAGATTCTTTTCAAGACTTTTCCATATCAGTCTCAGTCAGACCTTTCAGTGCCTGGGATCCTGCCTGTCTATGAGCTAAGCTGGAACGGATCCTCGCATGTCCCCCTTTGGGGGCGGGGGGCAGGCATAGCAAGTCTGGAAGGCGTGACCCGCAGAGAGATCCTCCCGATCACACTGGTTTTCCCACTGCTTGGGTGGAGGTCAACCACTGAGAAAACTGATCCAGCTGTCAGGGAATATGTTTCCATGAGGTTGAATGTGTCAAATAGTCTCCTCACCCCACTGGCCCTGAATTTTATTATTTGCACATTTTCTAATTGAAGAACATTCTCATCATAAAGAACAACATGAAAATGATGTGCAAAATTGCTTGCTACAGCGGCAAATCACCAAAGCACACAAATTGACATTCAAATTACATTAATAATAAAATGGCTGAATAAGAATGGGTTGGCAAATATATCTTGAAATAAGCAGCCATTTCTATTTTTCCCCAATTTTGCTTTACTCAACACCTTGTCAGCAATTGTTGATGTAGCCATTGTGTTTAAATATACATTGTAGCCGAATTTGAGAAACGTATTTTGTATTTAATCACAAAGCAGAAATGCCTGAAACTTGAGGGTGCTTACTCTCATAATTTCAAAATACAGAGTCCAATCTTTGAAATGACCCAATCTTGACATTTTCATACACCCCATGGCATTAACAGTGTTTGGTTTCTCAGGATTTTTAACTCAAGGTACGTTAAAAAACGAGTGGGTTAATGTTGATGTACCTTGGAATTTCAGCCATCCCTAAACATGCATTTTCATGCAATTAAAAGATAACGAGCTTATAAACTGCCTTTCATGTTCTTCCTGATTCTTGCAATTTCAACTTTTTAGAAGGACTTTCAAAGTAGTTCATGCAATGATATGTATGGCTAAAGGAACTGCTATGCCTAGAAAGGAAATGAAGAACTTATTTCAGTTTGACGTGAGGCAAGCTGAGGGCATCTGTACTTTCTCCTGCCTTACAAATGCTCTGAGATGATCGTGACCTTCCAGTCCTTAGTGAGTCTGATGCAAAAGCAGTTTCCCTGGCCGGCTGTGGCAAGGTGTCGAAAGTGTCTGTCTCTGTCTCTTCGGGACCCACTTCTTCATCAGTTATAAACAATTTGGATTCCCTCCATTTGGGATAAAAATCTTGGCTGCCTCTGGAGCCACTTGACTCACTCCCTGAAAGCTGTATATTCAGTTCTTCTGTCGACCTGATCAGGTTTTGTACAGACAAAGATTTGCCCAAGTCTTTGGGCACCATGGGGCGGACGGACAACAGAGTTTCTCCTCCCATGTCAAAGCTCTTCCTTAGAGAGCGGTCCTTGGTCAGATTTGACTGTGCAACCTGAACCTTTTCCTTGGAAGAAACAAGGCAGGTGGTGACATCAGAAATGCTTTCCTGTAAGCCTGTGGGGTTTGGGTGTAGAGTCTCTGGCCTTGGCAGATGCTTGATGGCTGGGAGAGGAGGCGGGATCTGTAAGGTTGTTGGGGCTGCTGGCTTGGGTGCCACATTTATTTGGTTTGCAATATTGTTGGATGCCAGGGCGGAGCCATCACCTTGACTCATTGCCGCCTGCGGTGCTTGACTGTGCATAGTAGGGCTGAGTGCGTAGAAAGTCTGAGCACTGAACTCATTTGGTGTTAGAATGAACTGCAGGCCTCGAGAGATGTTGGCACTCGCTGATCTGGATAAGCAGCCACTGTTTTGTGCGGAACTGGACAGGTCTTTGCTGTCCACAGGGCTTTGATAGTCAGATGTCTGTTCACATTCAAAAGGGGGGATCTGGAATGAGGCCAAAGTGAGTGCTGATGCGGAGCCTTTCCGGAGGACTTGTTGATATATGTCTAACAGGCAGTCCAGCTTTGACTCAATGGACTGTACCTAAAAGTGGAGAGCATGGTTACATAGAACTGTTATTGAGAATGACTTCACTTGGATTAAAAAACAAAGTCTGGGTGTGTCAATACAGTTAAATGTGGAATGTAAAGTATAAGGTAGTCCTGACCCTTGGTACCTCCTTGGAACACAACATCTAGCTGTGGTGGGCAGGGGGCAGACTCAGGGGAGGAGGGATGCTTTGGTGTCTACCTCTCCATCAGCCATCTTCCTTAAATGGCTAAATTAGCATCCTCAAAGACCATCTAAGCACTATACAAGTGCACTATACAAGTGAAGACTCCTCAGTGCAATCAGATTATCTTTCCTAACCCTCTTTTGAAAGCCATTTAGGGACTCTATTGCATTCTATTAAGTTCAGTGATTCTGAACTTAAAAAAAAAAAAGTACAAGTACCCCCAAATTAACACTTGGAATATTTAGGATTAACTTGAAGGAGCAATTTGATTTCTGGAGAATGGTCTTTGTATGGGAAGACAAAATATCAGGGTTCCCAAACACTCAGTTTATGATGACAGTTTAGTGAGGGTTTTGTTTTTAAAGAACAACCTAATAGAGAGACAATGAATACAACTAAAACACACAATGAAAAACAGACCTTGGTTATTTTACTGTTGAAAATCAATAGCTGCTTTCAGAGCAAGTATTAATGAGATAAAATTTTCTATTTCTTATATGCAAATCCAAATGTTTGAGAGAACACTGTCTATACAGAAAGTTCAACTGAATTCACTCTTGATTTTATTAGCCTGTCTATATATTATTCACTTACATACATTAAAATGCCCCAATCAGTTTTGATTGAAAAAAAGGTCTGTTAGAAAGGAAACGAGTACAAATGACTTGTACCTGTTTTTCAACCTTAACCACTCGGCCGAGCATACTGAGGTCATCTGTGGTCTCGTGTTCTGCTGTTATTTTCTCTCTACTCTTCTTATCTGATGTGATTTGCCCTTTTCCAAGAATTTGATCAACACTATCAGAGAAAGAGATCTGATTATGAGCCTGAACAGGCAGATTGCCCTAAGACATCATGAAGTGTTTTGAAAAGAAGATTAAATTCAATTATCTTTAATTTATATAAGATAAAATAAAAATCAACTTGTTCCAGTTGATGTGCTTATTTCCTTAACATGAGAATTACACATGGGATTAATTTTCTCACCAAGCTCCATGATAACATCACTGTGGGTAATCTTCTGGAGGCAAACTTGATCTAAACTACAAAGTAATTGGTTTATTTCATCTCCCACCATGCATTTTCTGAATTCAGACATTTAAAATATCACAAAATCATAATTATGAACATTTTATGTTGCTAGAATAGATTATTCAATGAATATATACTGTACATCTGGTAGGTGGGAGATAGACAGTTAAAAAAATCTGTAGTTTCTGTCCCTTGGATTCCAACTGGAGAATATACACACTGTGAAGTAAAAACTTAAAAGATTAGTTCTGCAAATTCTGTAGCAATTCAACTTTTAAAAATCTTGGGAGTCATAGATAGTTCTATTTAAGGGTTAGTCACCTAGGCAGAGATTATAACAAGGCCAAATGAATTAAAACAATTTTCAAGGAGAGTTGATCAGCTTAAGTGAGAATTATTTCCTTCTATTTCTCTGTGTGTTGTTGAATAGAATGGTCAAGAATATTGATTCAACATTCCAATTAACACTGTCTGAATTGCAATACAGGCAGAACCCACCTTCTGCCATGACATCTAATCTATTAAGCTTCAAGGATGATTAAACACCCCGAGGTCTGGGGTATGGATTTCTGGAAGTCCACAGTGCCTGGCACACATAGCAGAGTCAACAATTATCTTCTGATAAACTGAATGAACAAATTATACTTTCTATAATTGATAGACAACTGTTTTACTATGTATATGCTTCACATTGGACTAAATGTGCTGTGAACATACAAACAAATGTTAAAGACTCAGTTCTTATGTTTTTAGGAACTATTCAAACGCTAGTGATTTTTTGACTGAACCAAGACTTAAAAAGCTGAGTTAACTAAATATTTGACTTCAAGGTAACACAATCACGAACATGGCTGGACTAACAAATTGAATTCCTTTCTTTCAATGAAGCAATAAGATGCCCCCTACAAAGGGAATGTATCCAACACTTTATAGGGCATGAAGGAAAGTATCTGTTTTAGTCAAGAACAAGGGAAACAAACTTTTTAGCAGAAACAATGAAGAATTAACTATTCATGTTGTTGGTCTTGACTCTGGCACACTATCCCCAAATTATGAGCACTTTTATACTCTAGTAGGCTCTAGAGGCTGTAGAAGTTCTGAAGGAAAGTTCTGTTTTTGTGGGGTGGATAGTTGGGTGCAGTTTCATGAAGGAGAAAGACTGGCAGCAGCGATCAGTCACGGGACATCACCTCACATATCAGCACTTACTGAGCGCTCAATTAACTCATTCAGTCTTCACCACAGTGTATGAGGCAAGCACTAACATTATCCTCATTTAATAGGTAAGGAAACTGAGGAAACTGAGAGAAGTTTTTAATGTCTGATTTACACTCTGAAATATAACTGATGTTGCAGAAAAAATAGCTGTTTGTTACAAAATTAGCAAGAAATATGGAATTCAAGAGTTTTCTCTACTACAGAAAAGTCCTTCCCAGGACTTTTCCTTTACAACAAATTACATTTTCATTGCTTACCGGGTTTGAAGACTTTTAATTCTACACAACATGTCCAGATGACCAGCAGAATATTGTTCAATGACATCTTTTACATCATACGGGCGTAATGTTTCTTTAAACTTCCGTTTTGCAACGTGAAATTTCATAATTCTGTAAGAGCAACATATTTAACTATTAAGTTCCATAGTTTCCCTAAAAGATGTTGCCAAAATAGTTTCCTGGTAAATGTAAGAAGTTCTGGGGAAAACAAGTCATGTGCCATGTTATTTTAGACTCTGCTAGAAAGGCAACATGAAAGTCCAGGAATTGAGTGAAGTACTAAAGACTGTCTTGGGTGAGGTCCACCTTGAGAGCAGGATGACATATGAAAAAGGGACTAGCTACCAAGTGTTGTGCCTTTTTAATGTCCACTGGAAATCTAAATTGGTATTAAAGTCAAGAAGCAGCAACCCTGATTCTTCTATGGAAGTTCTATGGACCTTTTCCCTGTGCCCTCTGGAAGTCCAAGATACCATACCTAGTATCCCTTAAAAAACACAAGTTGTTAAAATGGCCTTTACTGTAATTATATACATTTTTGAGATGCAGGTGTGTCTACAAAAGTCTTATTCTCACCAGGGAAATGTACACTTATAAAGATTTTATGACAATTTTGTTTCATAAATTATTTCTGTGGAACCCTGCTCACTTATTAGCTAAATTCCTTCTATTTCAAACAGCATTCTTAGATGTGTAAGATTAGATGTGTAAGATTTTTCAGAACTGATCTCTTATTACAATGTCTCCACCAGTATGTACCCTGTGCTTTACTTATTTTTTAAAGATTTATTTTATTTATCTATGCATATAAGAGCTGGAGTGTAGGCCAGTAGTGCAGGGGTTGGGGGTGTGTGTGTGAGAGAGGATTCACCAGAGACAGAGTGGGGAACTTAACAGGCAGATTGATTGAAACATACTGCTGAGGGGAGCAGCAGGTAAGACAGGAGAGGTCTGTTGCGCCATGTGGGTCTGGAATCGAACTTGTGCTGCAGTGGCTGCAGATAGCTTCATAGTGCTGAGACTTAACCCTTGTACCACTAGTGAACTCCTTTACCCTGTGCTTTGAAATAATATTTTAAAAATAAATTCTATGATGCCATAAATAGCTAAACTGCCTAAGATGACTAATTAGTGCAATAATTCGGTATCACCCCTGAAGAAAGCAAAGGAGCATAACCCTTTTAATGAGTCTGAACAGCCACACTGTGGGTATAAGTATTAAACCAGTTAGTATCTTTTCAATGTAAAATGGTTCATAGACTTGCATTATCAACATTCATGGATTCCAGACTAAGCTAAAGCAACTAAGCTCTAGGGACAAAAATTTATTTTCCCTTTGTGCAAAGCAGGACTATTAGGAGCAAAATAAATACTCATGACCTTACTTAAGAGGTAGTTTCTTGCAAGGAATTCAAATTGCTTTAATGGTTAAAAAGTCCTAAACTCAGGGGCCCTCTCTGGTGGCACAGCGGGTTAACGCACAGCACTAAAAAGCTAAAGCCACTTCCACATGAGTTCGATCCCTGCCTGCCCGGAGGTGACTCACATGGTACAGCAGATGTCTCCTGACCTGCCTGCTGCTCCCCCCAGCAGTGTACTTCATCAGTCAGCCTGTTCTGCTCCCCACTCTGTCTCTGGTGAATCTGCTCACCGCCCCTGAACCTCTGGCCTGTACCCCAGTTCTTGTGTGTGTAAATAAATAAATCTTAAAAAAAAAAGTCCTATCCTTAAAGACATTCATTTCAAAGTAATTATACCCTATTTCTGAATAATTAATTCATAAATTCTTATTCACTTGCTCTATCACAGTTTCTCTACCAAATCTCTTCTTTATTCAGAGTAGGTTTATTTATTTTTTGTTTATAAAGTCATTTAAGTTACTAAGTGACAGTAAGTAAAGGAAATTTGTTTTTTAATTTGACTTCTTACTATTTGGTTTTGGTTCCAGATCTGTCGACCAACAACATAGATTGGATTTCAGTCTCCTATGTTGAAAAGCAAGGAAAGTAGTGAAATAAGTATCCTGTGGAATTTTTGACTATGAATTGTTATTTTTCAAATAGCTGTCTCCCCACATGAGATCGTCAGCTACATGAAAGCAGAATGGAATGGGCTCCTTTAATTCAACAGTCAGTGCTTAATAAACATTAGATACTACTACTTTATTTCGATTCACAGTAGTTACTACTACTATTCTTGTATATACTTTATGTGCTCAGATCTCAGCATATTTCCTGAATCACAATAGAAAGAAACATTTGTTAGTTAGAGGAGGGAAGAAAGGAAGATAAAAGAGAAGATCCTCAATTCTTGTTAATATTAAGCTTAACACCAGAAGGACAAATTGAATAGCCCTGAGCTCTTTTTTGCTTACCTTCACAGTAGTTAATTATGCCTGGAGTGGCAGGAAAGAAGGAAATCACCTTCCCTTTTCCTAGATGGCTTAAGTTGTTTGTGTTTCCAATACCATTAACACTTACTTGTAGTGACATATCTTCAGTAGCATTTGATAAGATATTTTTATCCCCTTTTTCTATTAGGGAAACTGAGGTTCAAAAACTTAAGTGACTTTCCCTGAACAATAAACCAATATGAGTGAAGTCAGTGCCAGCTCTGCTTGGCTCTCACCTCTGCACCATCACATTGCCTGCGGCATCACTTCTGGGGATGCTGAGACGTTTGACAGCCAACACTTTGCACTGTTTTCTTTCCTAGGGTGACAGAAGCCCCTCGCATGTGGAGGGCGGCTCTGGCGTGTCAGAGTGTGCCCACTGCTCTATGTAGCTCATGCGTCTCTGGCTGGTAGGGTGATTTCCCATAGATGGGCTCACATTCCCCAAACTGAATGACCTCTTTTGTTCTAACAGGCACTTGGCCTTGTCTCCTGTTAGGGAACTGTGTGAGGTCTCTCTGGAAACTTATTTCAAAGTGCACATTGCTTTAGTCTTTTTGTTAACAAATATCTTAACAGAAAGAATGATTTGAAGTCATTCAATAGACAGCTAATCCCTAGTCATATTTTATACAGAACTAAAATTTACTCTCTATGAGTGAGCAAATTAAAAGAAAACCCATGTTTTATAATTTTGACCAATATTAAACAGGAAACTCATCTTTATGTTGTTTCGGTGTGATTAGATGGTGATAGCTAAGCAAAGTAGGGTATATATACAACTTTTTAAAAAAAAAGACATTTATTTTATGCATATAGAACTGGGGTACAGGCCAGAGGTGCAAGGGGTGAGAGGATTCACTAGAGACAGAATGGGGAGAAGAACAGGCAGATCTACTGAAATATACTGCTGAGGAGTGTAGCGGGTGGGTCAGGAGAGGTCTGCCATGCCATGTGGGTCACCTCCCTGGCTGGGGGTGGAATTCATGCTGAAGTGACTTTAGCTTCTTAGTGCTGTGCTTTAACCCACTGCATCAGCAGGTAGTGCCCGATATAAAATTCTTAATTGGTTTGCCATTTATTTCTATACCTCATATTATTCTTCAGGTGGTATCTCTTTTCGTCAGTGCCTTTATACATTCTCCCCCACTTTTATGCATCAGAATTAAAGAGAGGGACTTGGATTAATAAGTATCATTTAAATGACCTGGAGGAGCACACATCATGTCGGGCAGGAGCAGGCTTGTGCTGACTCCCAGGAACAGCCATTATTAAAATCACCTTACAAAAACTTATAACGAAATAATTGCATTAAAAACAAAAGTATACATACCTAAAACTCATAACTTTCTAATTATGTTATTTATGTTACTCTCTGTTTTTGAGTCTTTGGAGAAGACTATTTAACAATGTAATATGATACGGCTATCCCAGCCTTTCATAGTGATGTTACATGGATAGCTTGAAATCAGTTGTCGTGGTGGAACAGGGACAGGTTTCATGGACTCCGCCCCCACTCCAGATACTGGAACTCCAAATCCCATCAATAACAAGGAGAAACACTCTGGGACGTGAGGGCGGAGCTGAGCAGCCAGGTTGGGATAAAACTGGACATGTGGGCTCTGGGGGTCTCTTGGCCTGGTGTTCACGGCTGATCGTTTTAGCTCAATTGGTTTCAGCATGCCGGTGGAGTCCAAGTCAGCAGAACTGGTAGGACATTCTAGTTAACTTGTATTTCTCTCCCTTTTTCCCTGGGTTATTCATTTACCTTTCTCCTTATAAATAAATCCATCATTTAACCTTTTTGAGTGTGTCCATAATATGATTTAATCGTAAGCGCGCAGGTGAAGACCCACAGACAGGCAACCCAATTCACATTGGGGTGCCCTGTAACAGTGGGAGGATTTATACCATGGAAATTGGTAAACACTACAAATCAGGATTTTGCTTGGAGGAGAGCTGGTTGTTAAGCATTTACCAAAGCATTGCTAGTTGTATCAAACCATTTTACCAATTAAGGATTGTTTTCTAAGGTGGAGATCAAGTAGATTTGCTTAAATGGCTTTGTCATGCATTGGAAAAGAAAGCAGCTGAAGGGTATGACATGAGATATAAAACTCATAAGTCAGGTAATACGGTTTACAAGTGTGGAGGATATTTTTAAAAGCCGAAGTAATTTTGAAATTAATAACACATAAAAAGAATGATGATAGTTACTTTGCTTTTGCTTAAGGGTGGACCAATCAGTTATAGTAGTTCTCAAAACTGTCCACCCTACAATTATTACAGAGAATAAACCTTTCAGACTGCAAGGAAGAACATATTAACCCCCTCCTAAAAATCCTTCATTAGTTTCCCATGGCCTATTGGGAAAACATCAAATTCCCTAGCACATTCCTATGGACTGGGTTCTGCCTCTCTCACCCCATCCTCTGCCACTTCCTCCTTGGAAGTTGAGATTCAGCAGCAATAACATATTTGCAGGTCTACAAAACACCATTCAATCAATTATACACCTCAATTATTTGCATGTGTTATCTCTTCTTCCTGAAACCTAGCATATCTTTAAGATTCAACTCGCAAGTATTTTCTTCCATGGAAATTTCTGTGATTTCTCTAATGCAGTTACCACTTGTCTGTTACCTCTATTTATTATCCACACACCATATTGTAATTATAAGCTTATACATCACAGGTCAGATGAGGCAACCTGAGGGCA